TATCAAGATATTGATTTAATTTTCGTTACTCCAGGTTATCATTGATATCGAGTGGGGAGCTTTCGGCGATAATGGTGTCTTGGATTTCATAAAAACAGATTTTGATCGCGAGAACGACGCAAATTCTCTCATCGTGAATTCATTTACGTAAGTGAACAAACTTGTATTATCTTTAATTGGATTATAATTATTCTGTTGCAGAATTAAGTGGATATCATTTCCAATAAAATTGTATTTTTATCAATTTGTCTCTGCACGAAAAAATTAACATTTTAGATATCAAAAAGATCCTTGTACATCATTATGACTTTTTTTCCTTTTCTTAGATTTGAAAAATACATTGCTGGAAAATATCTCGGTGAGGTGGTTCGTGTGATACTTGCGAAGTTGACCAAAGAGAGGCTTTTGTTTGTAGGAGATTCTACATCTGACAGTCTCTTAACACCTGGTAATCTTACCACCGATTTGGTGTCGCACATCGAGCAGTAAGTTCACTCTTATATTAATTTTCATGAATGCAGATTAATTTTAATCTTGGTTCAATTTTTACTTTTTTATCTTTTTCTAATTCTAAGAATTTTTATATCTTTTTTACACTTTTAATTTTTAGAATTAGAAAAAAATGAAGAGTAAATTAAAATTAATCTATATTGATGCATAAAAAATGATTTTGCGAAAGATCTAAAATTTTACTGGATATCAATTTTAAAATAATAAATTTTGTTGGATCATCAAAATAATTTTGTTGAAAACTCAAACTGATTGCTATTTTGATGATCCAACAAAACTTATTATTTTAAAATTGATATCCAGTAAAATTTTAGATCTTTCGCAAAATCATTTTTTTATGCATCAGTATAAATTAATTTTAATCTCGATTTAACTTATTCTTCATTTTTTTCTTTAATTTTTTACAAGGTTACTTATCGGTTTTTTAATTCCTAATATAATGATTTTGATGATGCGACAAAATTACTTTCAGATCGGTATTCAAAATTTTATATCTTTCAGCAAAATCATTCTTTCTATGTGAAAACGGGCATTAATCTGACGATAAAAAATTCACAGATGTTTATTTTTAATTTTGTAATTTCAGAGATTCGTTAGATGGTGGCGACAGCAACACAAAAGAAATTCTTGCAAAATTCGGCATCATTCCGGACGAAGATGACATCAGAATCGTTCAATATGTGTGTGAGGTCGCCTCTAACCGTGCAGCTCTTTTAGTATCGATATGTATGTCAATAAAGCTTTAAACGGCGCCTGTAAAGCAAAAATTTAAACTCATCGATGATTTCTGTTCAAGGTCTTGCGAGCTTGATAGATCGCATCGATAAAGAACAAGTAACAATCGCCGTAGACGGGTCTCTCTACAAGCATCATCCTCGATTAGAAGGTTGGATGAAGCAGTATATTTCGCTTCTTTGTACTCCAGGACGAAAGGTATGCATAAGTGCGGAAATAAATATTTAATTAAGTACATAATAATTTAATTAAATAAATAAAAATTTATTGTAAGTCATCAAAACTGTTTCTTTGTTTAGAAAAAAGTGCTGTTTAAATAAGTATTAAAAGAAAATCTTGAAAATGTGCATTTTATCGTGAAGGGTATAATGTACGAAGTTCTGTCTTTAACCTTCTGCAATTTTTACTCCTTCCTCGTCTGCAATCTGGATTTTTTATCTCCAATGTTAAAATCGTTTTTTAATAAAAATTGTAATTCGAAGAAAATGATGAAAAAATGGAAATTTGTTGACAAATGTATAACTTAGCAATAAGGAAATCTTATTTTGTTTTTCTATATTTTGAGAATAAAATTTTGCTTGTGGCAAAAAAATCTAAATTACAGACAATATTAAAAATTAAAGTTCTAAATTGCATTGTTTCTAATATTAACAATTCAACATACTCTTTTATTTTCTTTTTGTAGAAATAGAAAATAACTTTTTCACTCCCTATTTGGACTGTTTTCAAACTTAATGTTATCTATCATATATGAAAGTTTCCTTTGTATAATGTTTACTATATAATATATTTATTTTAATTTATTTTAATTGCAGTTCAAATTAATCCATGCGGAAGATGGAAGTGGTAAAGGCGCCGCACTCGTCTCAGCTATTGCACATAGACTCAAAAAGCGGTTACAATAACCGCGAATAAATGAATAACGTTCATCTGTCGTCGTCGTTATCATAGAGCGCAATGTTGGCATAGAAATGTTCCACCAGCAGGTTCTAATTCTAAATTCTCATTATCGACAAATATATTATATTATTCACATTATTCACCTTGAAAAGGATTGCACGCGTTTCGATTAATATCGTCTAGGCAATGTGATATATTATATTAGGATATATTTGTATTGTATATCAATTTCATGATTAAACGAAATGTCCAAAAGATGGGAGTATCGATTGTCAGTCGAGATGAGAGAAGCGTTATTTTAAGGAAATAAACATACGCATGTCAAGTGCGTGGTAGAATTGTAAGAGAACGAATTGTAGAAAAAATAGAACAAAAGAATAAAAATATTATTTATTAAATAAAACTGCAAGGGAACGTATGCGCTTGAGAGGTGAAAAGTTGTTGTAAACGTTCTGGAAACGTTCCTTTTTTGTACGAAACAAATCAAGTTGTTATAATAAAAAATTAGTGAAACAATGATTTATTTTAATCAGTCTTGCTTATATTTCCTAGTTGATATAATGATATTTTAACATATTTAATCAACATTTCATTAACCTTTTATTACTTACATGAAATATTGAGGATATTTCAGCCAAATTTGAGAAATGTAAATGTTATTTACACATATTATTATATCTAGCGCAAATTGTTTCATAATTAAAAAAAATTTATTTTATTTATCTTTATCTAAAGAATGTATACTTTCTTTGGAATCGAATCTCACTATAAAGAGTGAAAAATTGAGTCAGTATTGAAAAAAAGTTTAATTTTTAAGTTTTCTTTAAGAATGAGATTTTACTTCAAAGGGTAAAATATTAATTTCAATTATCAATTTTTATTAAATCATTAAAGAGAACAATAAAAATTAAAATATAGCTATGGTCAAAATATTAAGTATCTATTTATTCCATTTATCTTAAATTCTTTTATCTGTATTGTTACCTATTGATTACTGACATTAAAGGATTCTTTAATTAAAGAAATGATAACTTACAGCAAATGCCATAAAATTTTGAGCTAAAACTTTAAATAATGATTATTTGGCCAATACTATATAATTTTGGGGTATCAGAAATAACTCACGTAAGTATATTACTTAAAAAATACCATGTGATCAAGTAATGTAGAGCTAATTATATGTAAAAATTTAATTTTGAAACCTTTTTGAAAATTGAGAAACAATTTATACAATTCTTATTATTTCAATGTCTCATTTTAAGTAAAGAAAAAGAAATGAACGTCGTCGAGACGATTTGAAATTATTATATGTTACTAAAATTCACATAGAAAGTCAAATTCTAATCGTTTTTTATTTCAAACCGTCTCGATATTCAAATACTGGCTTTGCGCGCTCAATCGGCCGCCATGACAGTTTTCGCGGCGCGTCGGTTCGGAGTTACACGGAGCGCAATCGCTCCGTAATTAATCGTGAATTTTGTCCGTTGGAAATGTACGGAGGGGCACATTGTTCTCAGAAGTACCAATGAAAACAACGGGCTATCGCCGGAACATATCGGTTATCGCGGATCTTCGTGATTGACGTCGTTTCGTCGATCGGGATCATCGGATGCTGCAACGAGTCTAAAATATAAAGGCGGGAATAACTTCGGTGAGTACAAATTCCTATGCCAAAGGCACTCGATTATGATTCTTACGTTCTTTTGCGCAGCTCGAAGTGCATATTTCTCACTTAGCGTAGCAGTGTCGGAAAGCTGTGTTCCAAAATTCACTGCCAGCACTGAAAATTTATTATTTTATGTGTATAGATATATAGATTTTCAATACTGGCAATGAATTTTAGAACACGGCCAAAAATTCAAGTCCTCGTAATTATCTACGCGCTCAAATAGAAAATTACATTCCTCAGCGCATATTGTATAAACTATTTTTCGTATACATATAACAATCATGTTTTTTAAACTAGTAACAATTTTTCTGAGAATTTTTCATATAATTTTTTAAAGTAAGTCTTATATAAATTTCAGATTTTTTTGAAATTATTTAAAATTTGTTTTCAGAATTTTATTATATATTTTTTTAGAAAATTTGTTAAATTTTTTAATTGAAATATTTTTTAGGAAATGCTGGGAAAGTCTATTCTTCTAGAAAAGATTAATTATAGACCTTTTTTAGCATTTTTTAAAATATTTCAATTTGTATTAAAAAATTTGAGAAATTTCCTAAAAAGTTACAGAAATCTGAAAAAATTTTATATACCTTATTATGTGTCTTTTTATATAATATATGGGAATTCTAAATATTTTAAAAGATTTTTATCAGTTCTGAAAACAATTCCTAAATTCGAAGAAGAAAGAAATTCGTTTAAGAATTATTTTTTAGAAATCTTCATAAATTTAAAATTTAAGAAATTCTTAAAAATCTTCTAAGACATAAAATTCTTTTAAATCAAGATAATACTATCAAATATAATATATCATTGATCCAGCATTAAAAAAATCTTTTTCACATTTTTCGCCAGTTTTAAATTTTCGATATCTTGGCTACTAGAAAAATCAGCTTTGCAATTGTCATAAGATATTAAAGAATCTCAAATAGTAAAGCTGCTTCTTGTATAAGACGGTAATACTAGCCAATTAATTGCTTATTTCGAGTATTAAAAGTATTATTAACAATTAGTTTTAATACTGAAAATAAATGATTAATCGACCGGTACTAATATTAAATTTCTATAAAGGTAGAGGACAATTGACGCAAATGGCGATTTCGAAAGCGACGGCCCTTGGGTCGTCTCGAGCTTCCGTCTGACGACGGTAGATGGCAGCAGCGACACGAAGCTAACGGGGTTGGACTCACGACTCACGACTCACCGTGGCCGCGGAGTGACAGCTCGCCGAGCTCGAGCTGTCATCAGCGGTGTTCGCGCGCGCGTCACGTACCGTGGTTCGCGTTTTTCGTACTGCGAGTATACGTGCCGGTGCCGGTGACGCGCAGCGTGCTCGTGCCGGTTACGCGGGACGCGTTCTGTCAGTGTCACCGGTGATACTCGTTACGAAATCGCGTCTTTTTTTCCCCCGTCGAAAAAGCCGAACGGCCGCCGCGCACGGTGGGTGCGCACGCAAGGGAGAACGGCTCCGCTCCGCTCGCCGCCGCCGGCTCGGCCAGTCTACTGGAAGATTCCATTGTGAGAGTGGGCTTTCGAAAAGTTTCGCGGAAACCACCGGCGAGGCCTACACGGACAATCATCGCCGAGCCATCGGGACGTTGTTCAGGACAGACCAGGTACGGTGTCTAATCCTGTCGACGGCGCTTTTTACGAAATTCCCTCCCGTGACTGTACACTCGTTTACACGAACGCGCGTACGTGTAACGTGTGAGTGTGTGCGTGCTGTAAGTGTGAGAAAGAGGGAGACAGCTTGAGGTTATTACAGCGGTCGCTCTCTCTGGGTTCAGCTGGGCTCTCAGCTGATGCACCGACCGACCGACCGACCGACCGATCGGTTCGCTGCTACCGTAGCTCGATTTCGCGAACGTGATCGTCGTTGACGTTGACAGGCCGCGGTAGATCGCTAGAAACGCTAATTCATCTGGGATTCGTTGTTCGCCGATTACGTGGCCCGCATGTAATTTACGCGTGATAGAGGAAAATTACAATTTACTGATTTAGAGCCGTTGATCAACGGCGGACGCATCAACGCGACCCCCGCTCGTATCCGAAGGTACGACAGAATCGGAGAGGGGAAGAGGGTTCGGTTTAAACTAGGGTTAGCGCTAACCGAGGTCGGCGGAATCGAACGCTCTCTCGGCATCCTGTAATGAATCGAATTGCGTCGATTTAATGTCGGGTTTGTGTGACAACAGTTGTCCGTTCTCACATTTGAAGTGTATAATAGTTGTCTGAATAACGCTTTCACGCAAAGCGTCGGATCATTTTTGATTATTCGTGAAAAACCTCATCGTTCTTTTGTTCTCAATACCATCACCCAGAATCTTCGCTCGCGACCGTTTTCTCGGTGATTAATGCCCGTTTCCACCAATGTAGATTAACTTTAATCTCACTTCAACTTATTACTCTTCATCCTTTCTGGTTTCCTAAAAATTAGGAAAAGATGAAGAATAAGTTCAACCGAGATTAAAGGTAATCTGCACGGAAAGTATGATTTTGCTGAGGTATCTAAAAATTTATCTGGATAAAAATTTGAAAATAATTTTGTTGGACCATCAACAGAATTATGTAGAACGAATAATGAACAATATTGCAAAAGAAATTGGTATTTTAACAGTTATTTTGAATCCTATATAATTATTTTGATAATTTTTTCTAGTTTTGAAAATTAGGAAAAGACGAAAAATAGGTTGAACCTATATAAAAATTAAAGTTAATCTGCACGGAAAGTATGATTTTGCTGAGGTATCTAAAAATTTAGTTGGATACAAATCTGAAAATAATTTTGTTGAACCATCAATAGAATTGTGTAGAACGCATAACAAACAATATTGCAAAAAAAATTGGTATTCTAACAGTTATTTTGAATAAATGTATAATTATTTTGATGATTCGTTAATTTTTTCTGATTTTAAGAATTAAGAAAAGACGAAGAATAGGTTGAATCGAGATTAAAGTTAATCTACACGGAAAATATGATTTTGCTGAAGTGTCTAAAAATTTAGCTGGATTCAGATCTAAATTTTGTTGGATCATCATATTATTTGTAGAACAAGCATAATGAACAATATTGCAAATAATTTTTACATTTTAGCAACTATCTTGAGTATTTTACATAATTACTTTGGTGGTGCAACAAAATTATTTTCAGATCTATATATAAATTTTTAGATATTTCAGAAAAATTCTTTTTGTATATTGATGAAAATGAGCATTTATTCCAAAATACTGTGAAATACTTCCAAATTCTGTGACGATTAGAATTATTCTCTAGGATGATTATTATCATTATGAATACTTGTAATTTTAATTTTATTGTAATTGCCAGTGTAATTATCGTGCCATGAGAATCTTTAAATTTAATTTGCTTATATATTATATAAAGTGTCGCTCCTTCAATTTTATATTATCCTTTAAAAGAGAATAAATTCTTGTTTTGAATATATATTAATAATTTTTTTGTAATAAATATATTTTAAAATATTATCAAGAAAAAAATATTCTTTGTTAAAGATAATTGAGTCTTAAAAAAAAAAGATAAATTAAATAATCACTTTTCTTAATAACAAACTGAGATTTTTTGTGTGTAAAAATTAATTTTATTCAAGAAAGTATTGCACCTCTAAAACCAAATTATAGTAGTTCAAAAATTTGTTTCGCGATTAGATCCGTCTGCTTTAAACTTACGCAAAGTTCAAAATTTTTTGAATTTCACTTTCGGACTTTCTTTGTCAGATTTATCATCTCGATCGTCTATCCTTTGTGTTTATAATATCAAGAGCATACAGAAATAACTCACTTCTCCCTCTTATATGGGTACGTGACACTTTGTGCATCGACGATTTCACCTCGCGAGATTCTCGCAGAACGTTGATTCCCAGTGTTGACCTCGACGATGCGTCTACCATCGACGTCAGTACTACCGGATTGATATCTTTCAAAATGGACAATCGCGGGAAAATTTGTATCTATTTTTAGCAATCGATACGTGATAAATAAATCACCTCTAGAGGTGATTATAAATCACCTCTATACGGTATAGGTTTTGCTAAAGTCTAAAAATTTAGCTGGATACAGATCTAAAAATAATTTTGGATCTATAAAAATAAGTAGGATACTCGAATTGATTGCTAAAACTTTTTATAGCATTTTTCATTATGCTTGAGTTTCTCACATCATTATTTTAATGGCCTAATAAAATTATTTTCAGATCTGTATTCATCTGAATTTTTGAATATTTGAACAAAATCGTTCTTTCCATGTATATATAACATGATTATGAAATATTATAACGTATTCAAGTTAACTTATTATTGTATCCTCCATATATGAAATGTTAACATAATCGAGTTAAATTATTAAAAGTTCGGTCTTGTAAAATAGTTATCGAAAATGTAGAGATACACGTTTATTGCATTTTGAGGATCAAATTACTTGCAGTGTTACGACGAAAAGGTACTTCATCAAGTAGCGTGCTTAAACTACATGAATCGGTATTACACGGTGCGCATAATTGCACAGGTGAGAGACTCATTCATCATTCGCATAATTTTGACCATCAGAACAGAGGCAAGATTTAATCGCGAAGAACTAGAATAATCGTGTTGACGTGATAATATAAAAAAAACATATTCATCGCTCGCTACTTGTCTAGCACGGATCGCACGCTCTAATCATGAAATCTCATTATGAATTTCTCGCTTGAGAATAAGAGAAAATAATTCGCCGACGACCAAAGTAATCTCGTGTAATGTCGTTCATTCTGAAGTGGCTCGTCTTTATGCTACTCTTGAGAGGCATTGTCGAGAACGACGCCGTATACATTGCGCGAATTTAATTCTGAATCCTTATTATAAGATTTAATTATGCGGGGCATTCCGCGTTATTATTGCATAAACCATTCAAATTATTTCGCGCGAGCTAAGCATGATAGAAACAGTCGTATCATAAAGTATTCTTTATTCTTGCGTTCTTTATTCAACTTCAGGCGTATCAGATAATAGAATTTTAATAACTCCACTAGACAATAGAATTCTAATTTATGATATGGATATAATATAAAAATATCATGAAGACGATTTTCCTGAAGCCTTCATTAGCTAGATACAGATCAGAAAATAATTTCGTTGGATCATTAATTAAATAATTATATAGGATGCTCAAGCTGATTGTTAGGATATGATATAACATTTTGCAGCGTTGCTTATCATGCTTGATAATTAATGTTTATGTAATTATTATAATTCAACAAAATTATTTTTAGGTCTATACTTAGCTAAATTTTTCCATCTTCCCGTCCAGTATTACAAAAATATATTGAATACTCATTTTGCGAGTTTTGGAAAATAATTAATCTAAATGATGAGAGTTTTTGTTGTTTACGATGTTATATTTACTGTTGTTGTTTCATAAAAAACCCTTTCATAATTCGTGACGTAATACGAATTTACGTGGAGATTATCTTTCAGATTTTACGCAATATACATTGCAGTATAATCTAAACATGTTATCGCATCTGATTGGAAAGCGCGAACTCCTTCCTCGTGAGAGGTGAGAGCTTCCTGGAGGGCGTAGGGATTCGCAGCGAAAGGGCAACGAGGACAACGTTGTCACGGCACCGTTATCGTTCGCATCGTCAAATCAACTCGACTTTTCCGCAAAGTACCACCACCGCGCGTTGCAACGCCAACGTCGAGGTCACCGCGCCCGGTTGCAGCTGAGCTTCCAGCTGACGAGCGGAGGCTGCGACCAGTTCGCCATGCTCCTTCCTCCCCTCCATCTGTATTCCTCCTCCCTCTCTCTCCCTCCCTCTCTCCCTCCCTCTCTCTTCCTCCGTTCTCTCCGCACGTTTCTTTTCCATCAGTCACCTCCTCCTTTTTCCCTTTAAATCACCTTTCACGTGCTCCGCGCGATTCTGCCTCTCCGCCGTCGTCTCTCTTTC